TCCCTCTGGGAGGAGGGAGGGCGCCGCCAAGTTTGATGATGTCGCTGCATAACGCCACTTCTGGACTTCCTCAGGAACGGAGTCAGCGCTGTCACCGTGGAGACAATATATACAAATAGAAATGTGCGATTCGTTTCGTTCCCAATCGAAATTTCGTAAATTCGGAGATTCGGATGTATCGGAATTACAGATATAACGAATGCAAACGGATCCGAATTTCCAAATTCGTTTTTTTTTTGGACGAACGTTCGTTGCAGCAAAGTGACATTAGAGAACAAAAAAAACTTATTTTCCCTCTTAAATGTCACTTTGCTGCAACGAGCGAACGAAACGAAAGTTCGTACGAATTTCGTCGGAATCCGAATTCCAAAACGATTTTGACTTTCTCAACCGAAACGAATCGCAACAAATGTTTTGCTGGTGCGCATGTCTATATACAAAGAGTCCCATTCAATCCGTCCATTGTTCTTCATAACTCCGCCTCCTGTTCCTCAGAATCTGTGTCCTCTACACATCAATGTGCTGGATAGAGGGGGACACTGACTAAGGGAGTGTAACAAACTTACCCGTCGCCCGGTTCCGGCGCGCCCCGCGGCTCCGTCGGGGGAACAACGCGACGGGGTCACCAGCAAAGACGTCACGCGGCTCCTCCCCTTTCCTCTTCGTAAGGTCGACGGGGTCACTTGCCTGGCGTTTGTGCGAGTGTGTATGACGCCGGGCAAGGACCTCCTAGTCTCCGCACCGAACCTCTCACTATTGGGCCGGACGAGTGCCCCCTTCTATCTCGCCCCAGCAGCCACTTCCTCCCACTCAGGGCTGCGGGAACTCGTTCCCCTGACTCCCTCAGCAATCACTCCCTTTGTATGGGGGATGAAATAACCAGCAATTCCTTGAATAGCCTCCGGGGGGCGCCGTGGGAGCGAATCTTCACAAACTGCAAGTACGCGGTCTCAGCTGGTTACACCTTTATTCAATTGACTGTTACAATCCAATTACTTGCTATGGGATGAAGACGACATCTGTACATTCCGCCTCAAGTTCCGGGTCATCAATACATTGCTCCGAACAAATACAAACCCGCTGCAAATCTCTACCTCCTTTCACAAATCACAATGCGTTCTCGTGGCCGGTATTCGAGCTTCTTCCAATCATCTTCCTGAGACTACTCTAGAAGCAGCTCTACAACTCAACAATTCCAGAATCTAAAGACATTTCCTGCGGATACATTTATATAACTAATGACACTTCATCTATTATTGGTGGTCAGCACACGAGGCCAGCAGGAGACCCAGATACAGTGGCGGAACTACCACCGGTGCTTGCGCACCGGGGCCTCAGGCTCTGGGGAGGCACCAAGCAAGATGCCGGCCGCCGGATCAGTATCCAGCGCCCGGCGGGCCCCTGGTCTCTCCACCGGAATGCGATTCGCGCAGTGTTCATCCTCTCACGCTGCCTGAATATGCATACAGAGCGTGCACGTTACTACGTAAACCGGCGCGGTGTGTGCAGCTTCTGAGAAGATACGCTATGAGCGTAGCGGGAGCGATGCAAAATGCGCAGCCGCCTTCCCCGCTACGCTCATAGCGTATCTTCTCAGAAGCTGCACACTGCGCGCGCCTGTTTAAGTAGTAACGCGCACGCTCTGCATATAATGACAGCGTGAGAGTCGGGACGCTGCGCTTGTCGGTCGTTCCAGGGATCAGGTGAGTATTAAAGGGTCATTAAACCCTCCGGCCTTTTTGCATATATATATAAGGCGAGCAAGCAGGAGATGGAGACCAAAACGCTTTAACAGCGGTTTAAACTTACCCAGAAAATGTGAAACTGCTCGGACGGACCACAAAGCATCTTGGGGCGGGTGCATGCGCAGTTCGGATTTTCGGGCGGGAGATGAGGAGAGACGCAAGGTGAGTCTATGGACGCATGCACCTGCATGCAGACACCGTGGGACAGGAAGTGCCAGCAAGAGGAGTCAGCGCTGGAGGGACAGATGAAAACATCAGGAAAGAAGAAGATCGGATTAAAGGAGAACTATGGGGAGGGGGAGGGGCTTTTCACTCACCTCATAGTTCTAGCCGACCTGTGACAATGAGACTGTCACAGGTCGGCTCAGGAGATTGGGAGGTGAGGGAACACATACCGGCGTTCGCTCACCTCTCGATCCTGTCACGGCTCTCTGCGTGACAGGGGGAGGGGCTGGATTCCCCCCTCCCCGCTCCGATCCGCCAGTGCTGACTGGCGGATTGGACGGGGCGGGTACAGCTCTAGATAGGCAGAGCCAGCTGTCACTCATGCGGCTGGGCGGATCTCCACAGTATCGGGATCCGTCCCGGCTGCGGCGGTCTCAGTGTACCGCGAGCTGTAGCTCCCTATATACTGAGCCTAGGGTGACGGGAGGACGCTAGTTTGTGTCACCCTGAGGAGAACTATGGGGGAAAGCCCTGATCTCGTAGTTCTCCTTCAAGAGACATCAGTTAAGGAAAGTGCTGGCATTTACATTGGGGGGAGGAATAAAAAAAAAATTGACTTTAATGTCACTTTAACCACTTCCGGGCCGCCGTACGTCTATAGACCGCGGCCCGCAGAAGTGGTTAAAACAAGAACACGGCTGCTCTTGGTACCGCTTTTATCAGCAGGCGATTGCTGTATGACATACAAGCAATCTCCTGCTGAGGACTACAAATCTCAGCAGTTCTTTATACAGAAATGCTATTGTTGCCTGTGCCATTCTGCATTGCTGTAAATATTAGGGATGCGCCGATATATCGGCCGCCAAAACATATTGGCCGAAAATGGCACTTTTGGCATAATGCGGAAAGTGCAATTTTTCTGCCGAAACATCGGCGCATCCCTGGTTTCTTTCCTCCCCGCTGTGTGCTGCTCTGTGTCCCAGCGGGGAGGAGAGAAAGTGTGACAGCCGGCCGAGCACTGCGGGAGGAGAGCGCTGTGAGTAGGCGGGGTCCCTC